ACACTTAAAAAAAAAAATCAAACTAGAAGAGGTTTAAGCAAGCTATTTCTAGTCACCTTGACCACCATTTTTACACTGTAGTATGAATATTGAAAAATTAGCTTTATGAAATTGTTTTAAGCTACAAACTGCCTATGTACACTTCTGGAGAACATTGAAAAAGGAAAAAAAAAGAAGTGCCAGGTATCTCATGTTGCTTTCTGAACAGGCACCGCAGTAAACCTCACGTTCGATATAACGAGCTGTAATGTTTAGTTATTCTAAAGGTACGGTACAATAACAGATTACTGTTGTTCATATCTGTGTAATAATTGAAACTCCCTGATCACACTTTCCATTTTACACATTGTCAGAACCTTGGGCCTTAATCTTGCTCTGTGATTGACAGTGGCGGCCAAGGAAAGAGCACTCGTATTGTTTGTGATAGTCACATCTGTTCAACTTGATTCAGTGGAGAGTATTTGCATATTCTTAAGTATTTCTTCTGAGAGGGCCTAAATCCTTCTCAAGTGTTTGATGCATTTTTGAAATTCATTCATAAGGTATCTACATGCACTAATAGTTCTGTATAATATTGCTGTGCATAATCTGACAGATAAGGCTAGTTTTTTAAACAAGGTATTCTTTGGGGATGACATATTACATTCTGACTTATTCTACTGGGCAGAAATGTCAAGTACTTTGAAAAAGGATGCTTGAATGTTTTGATTGAATTAGTATTCTTCATTCAACATAGATTGTCAACTGTAGTAAAGTGTAGTCTTATTGTGAGAACGTTTTTCAAAAGGGGCCTTTTTGTTTTATTTTTGTTACTGTGGCTTTATTAATAATAATCGTTCTTTTGCTACTGATGTAGATATTAGATGGAACAAGAGAGTAGATTCTTAGATGTATTTTAGATTAATTTCTCTGAATTGTTACACTATGAGCAACAACTTTATCTTGAAATACAACTTAGGCTTTTGAAATACAACGTAAGCTTTTATCTTTCTTTTCTTTCTTTTTATTTTTTCCTTGCAAAATTTATATCAATAGTTTTAGAAGCATTGTCAACCTTAGTTTTAGAAATCTGTCACTCTTGATATTACATATACAACACTAATGAGAAGTACATTTGCTTCAAAAAATACTCAGGTGTTACATTTGAGCATTGAACACAGCAGTTCAGAATATTAACTTGATGGTCTCATACCCTTACATAATAAAAAGCATCATTGAAACTCATGTCTTCCATAGGTTGAAAGTCCTAGTCCAGGACTATCCAAGTTTGGGCAAAATTAGCCCAGTTTGCCATGAGGAGTGGACATATATTCCCCTCTGCTTAAATGGATTTGTGCTGTGAATACACAAACTGTTAAAGACCCAGGATCTCATATGGAAGACCACTCATCTCAGTGAATAACCTTTTTTTTTTTTCCATTGCACTAAGCAAGTCTTCAAAGAGCCACCATTAGTGGCTGACCTAGTTTAAGAAATGGGTTTCTGTCTCTAGAAAGGACCGTAGCCAGCCCTGCTGCCTGTGTACTTGAAAAAAGAATGATGCAGATTTAAGAAGTGTATTTTTTGTTTGATGCACATGCAGGTTTTAGTGTAACAGCACCTTTTGCATCAGCTTTGTTTTTCCTTTGCTTCCAGGAATCTCCTTCTGGCCGCAGAAAAGCGCTTGCCACCAGCAGCATCAACATGAAGCAATATGCCAGCCCCATGCCTACGCAGACAGACGTCAAGTTAAAATTCAAGCCTTTGTCTAAGAAAGTGGTATCTGCCACACTGCAGTTCTCTTTGTCTTGTATTTTCCTGAGGGAAGGAAAAGCCACGTAAGTTGTTGTTGGGTTTGTGGGTTGTTTTTTGGTTTTTTGTTGTGTTTTTTTTTTTTTTTCCCAAACTAGATAGCTTACCTTGTGTTGCTTTTCAAAGAATTCTTTGGATAAAGAGCTCCTTCTCCATTGAAGAGCAGAATTTGAGAGTATCCTTCAGCATACCTGTCATTCCTGCCATACTTAGTTTCTTAGCTGAGTAAAAGTTTTCTTACTCTGATTCTAGTCTTGTGTTCTTCAGAAACAAACAGCTTGTCCTCTGCTGTTAGAGATATTTTGAATAACAGCAGCTTAAAAATATCTACAGGTTTGAAATCAGCATGAGTGTACCTTTGTGTTCATGTGTGTGTTCATCTAACAATACCCTTAGCAGACTGCAAGGGAAATGCAGAAAGGAGAACTTTTTATTTCATCTATTTATATTTCACAAAGAATGAAAGGAGGACAAAGCCAGTTTTAAAGTGAGTGAGGGTGGAGTCAAAAGTAAGATTTTGGGCTGAACACAAGAACATCCTCTGAAAAGAGTTCAACTGGGCACTCATTGCCACGCCCTGTACTCCTTGATTCTGTCCCTGATTTCAACAGCTTTTGGAGGGCAGAGGATGCAGATTATTTTTGCAGATCCTATAACCTCTCCTGCAATTTCTGTTGGATTCAAGGTGTCAGATATTGACAACTTCATGTAGCTGGAGGATGGATCATTTGTCACCCATCCTATTTTGCTTTTTCTTTCTGTCTCTAGAATATGGAAATGTGAGAATGACAGAACAAAAAGAGATGGATGGGAAAACCACTGCTCTAGGGGCTCTTTTGCCTCTTTACATTTCTTTTTCCCTCCAAGATGCTACCAGTTTGTTTCTAGCTTTCGGTGTTCTGATTGCACATTACCCGCTGGAATACAAGTTCCCAAAAGCTGTTGCATGAACGTCTTTCTAGGATGCCATTTTAAGACATACATATTCACACAGAAAGGTTTTTTTGTCTGCATGCCTTGAAACCCACAGATGCATTAATTTTTCTTAGCTACTATTACTGTTTTCCTTCTCTGATTAACCTGTTGTGAGCCACATTTTGATGTACCATCTAAGAATGATACTTTGAAGTATTTAGTTGTGGTTTAACACAGTAGTGCAGCTGAAAAAGGGAATCAAAAATCCAGTATCTGATAACCTCTTCACTTTTTTTGAACAACCAGCATCCATGAACATTGCAATAAATAGTTATACTAGGCCCTTAGTGTTTTTTGAGACCATAATTTGTAAAAGCTGATCCTTTTAGGATCATGTATAACTTCTTGCCATTGAAATAGCTTTCAGGCTGAAGATTTTAAGTCAGGTAGACTCTAAGTTAACAACAGGGCTTTAATATTGTGCCAAACCAGGGACCTACCAAAAAAAAAGGAAAAAAGCTGCTGTTTAAAATCATTGCTTTCTAGTATATGTAGATAGAGACTCTTAAAAGTCAAAACCAAAGAGAGAATTCAGGTGTCAGATACATGAACATGAAAGAAAAGGTAGCTAGGCCAAGGCCTGTTTATATCCCTTATAAACTGTTGTAGTTCCATAAAGCAAGATTCACTTTTAATTTTATTTTCTGCATTTTATAAAAAAAATACTGTAATCTGTTCATGTGTGGTATCAAAAATCATCTTATTTGCAAAACTCGGAGAAAAATACTATAAAGTATAAATGCAGAAAGGACAGCAAAAAGAAATAGTACTTTGGAGACCTTTCAATTTCTAGACTTTATAGAATCATAGAATCATAGGGGTTGGAAGGGACCTTGAAAGATC